AAATTAAGGTCTTTGGGGGGACTTTTCCCATTGTGTGGCTGTGGCTGTCACCCTGCACAGTCTCAGCATTGCTCCTGGAAAGGTCTCCAGCTGGGGCTGCTGGAGGAGGTCACAGCTCCTCGCCAACACTTGTCTTCTCCCTACCTTGGACATCTGGTTTTCTCCCTACTTTGGATGCCTGATTTTCTGCGGGTACAGATTTTCAGGTGCAGAGGTCTGGAAGCGGAGGGAGGCGAGTGCAGAAGCTGGGGATGGTTTTGCTGTGCCCTGTGCCACCAAAAACGGTGGCAGAGAAAGAGCAGAAGACCTGCCAAAGGGATGGAGGCAACTAAGGTGTACTAGGGAGGCTGGGGAAATAAAAAACCAGGGATGCAAAGAGGGAAAAGAGACAAAGAAAGGGGGAGACACCGGTGACCCTGCACCTGTGTGGGCAGGGAGGAGGTGGCACCCGCTTGCCAAAGCCGCGTCCTTCAGCTTTGCTCCGTGCGATGTGATTTAGAGGCAGAGCACCTGGGCCGGTTTTTAGGGGACACATATTGCACTGGCTCTTTTGGGGGAGCAGAAGTAACACCCCAGATGAGCCGTTTGCCTTTCCCATGTGTCCTCTGGGCTTTGGGCTTTTATTAACAACAACCACAACAAGAAAAAAGGACTTTCTGCATTGATGTCCTCTAAAATCAGCGGGGGAAACGCTCTGGACGGGTTGGCTGCCCATCCAGACGCCTCAACTTGCCGGTGTTGCCCCAGCCTGGGCTGCTGTCCCCCACCGTTTCAGCGGCTTGCCCCCCCGCCATCAGCCCTTGCCTCGCTTTTTACTCTGCTCCCCCTCCCCTTTCCCTCCTCCCCCCCAGCATTGCTCCGTACCTTCCTTCCCCCGTGCCGAGCCCAGGAGGAGCCGCGCGGTGAGAGCAGCCTGGCCGACAGCCCCGGACACGGCTGGGTACCACCGGCCTGGAGGACGGGGAGCAGCTCTTGGTGATGCAAAATCTGTTCCCATCGCCGTGTGCTGCCGCCCATCGCTTCCAGCATCGGGGCACGTGAGCGTATCATTCCCCTTCCCGTCCCGGCGTGCTTTAGCAGCATCCTGCATCCCTCACCAGCCTTGTGCCATCCCCATCCCTTCTAATCCTGCAAAGAATCAACGGCTCCCAGCCAGGAGGCTCGTGTGGCTGCGAAATAGCGGGGCTGAGCTGGAAATGTCACCTCTCCCCGTGCCAAGCTTGGCTGCGAGGGGTTGGCACGGGACGAGATTGTTTTCAAAGTGACCACGGTGTTCCCAGGCGTGGCAGCGGGCAGCGGGTCCTGCGCCCGCTGCAGGAGGGTGTGGGGTGACCTGGTTATAACGCGCTTATCTCACAGTTCAAGTCCGCTGACCTGATATTTTTGGCGTGCCGAGGACCCCGCGGCTCCTGTAGACTCCGCGGGCACGCAGACACCTCCGTGGATGTCAGAAAATCGGGGCGTAATTTGAGGAATGCTTTTCAAATAGCTCCTCTCTGTGTTGCAAGGAAAAAAAAAAAAACCAAAACCCAAAAATCAACAAAACAAACCTGCTTTAATCACGTTTGCAGCAATTAGGTTCCCATCAGGGCCGTCGGCGTGCCGGGCTTTTATTGTGCGATGGGGATTTACGGTGCCTGAGGCTGCCAAAGCCCCCGCAGCTGGATCCCAACAGCCTCAAACGGCAGCAGCGCCGGAGCTCGTGTTGCTCCTGTTGGTTTATTTTCATGTGGATCTGTCTGTCCAGCTTGAGAAGGAGATTATGAGCTTGGGGAACCAGGAATTTGCTCTGTGTTTGGTTGTGTTGAGTGCAGGGGATGCCTGGCCCACGACTGATGCTTCCTGAGAGCGTCAGCCTGTTGCCGGTGGAGCAGAGCCACCACTGCAATTAGCGCTGGGAAACAAGAAAGTGGGGATTCATGGGTTAAGGTGCAAACCAGCGGTTTGCTCGTCACGTATTCCTCGTGTGCTCGGGATGGAAAAGCTGAAGAGCTGCATTTAAGCACTTTAACTGAAGTGCTCAGCCGGGATGCGCTGACGCTTGGAAGGAGTTTTGCATCGCTGGGATGTGCCAGCCGGGAGAAGGTGAGCAGGAGCTTTAAGGGATCCATCTGCTCCCGGATCCCAGCGCTGCAAAGGTGGGAAGGAGAAGGACTTGTGCACGGGGGAGATGGCACCAGCACGTCGTTCTGCCGGTTAATCCTCCTGAATAACGGGCTCGGAACTGGCAGATGAAACTGTTTTGCTAAAGCAGGAGGAGGATCCTGCAGCCCAATTAAAGGATTAGAGCTGAAAGCCAGTTCATTGCCTCTAAGTGCATCCATTTATTAAGAGGAGGGGAAAAAAAGGCATTTCTCATGCTGTGGTACCCACCAGCTCCCCGGGGTTTGGGGGCATGGGAAGCTCTTCCATCCCTGGAAGCGACTTGGGTGTCTTCCTTGGGAGGGTGCTGCTCCTTCGTGATTTAACCGTGCAGAGGTGGTTCGGGTGGGATGAACTCCAGTTCGATCGGGGAAACTGAGGCCCGTGGGGAGGAGGTGAGCTGCCCAGGGGGGTCCGTAGCAGGATGCAGGGGTGAGGGATTTTAGGGTTGAAGTCCAGCCGTTGCTTGAGCATCCAAAAAACCTGCGCGTGCGCGCTCCGAACGGGGCACGCGTTGCCTGCTCTTTTCAGGGCTGTGCCAGCGGAGACGAAGACGTGACCTTTTTCGGTTGATTTATATTCTAAAGAGAAAAGAGCCGCTGGGTGAGAGGGGAAGCAGAGGCAGAGATTACCCGATAAATCGGTGGGGGAAGCTGGCGGCCCCCTCTCTGCAAGACCAAGCGTCGAACAAATGCTCTCCCAGGCTCGCTCCCCTCAGAGCTGCTTTAGGAGCCGCGCACAGAAGGAAGGACAACGTGAGGCAAGAGGAAAACCCAAAGTGAGCTTGAAGACGGCTAAAGTGCTGGGAGGACACAGGGGTGAAGAGTTTCGAGTGTCAAAGAGATGAGCAGGAAACCTCCAGCAGCCCTAGAAACCTCTTGGCTTGCACCTTTGGCATGCACACCGCTGCGCTCGATGGATATTTATCCGGAGAAAACATCTCTTGCCCTCTGGGAACGGACTGGCAGGCTGGGCAGAGCTCTTTCATCAGCTCAGTGTGTTGATACACATACACATTTGATTGATAAATGTATTTATTGATGCACATGAGGCACCGGGGGTTGAGGAGCCTTTTCCCTCGTCCTGCTGGGCAATAAAGTTCACAACTTGCTGCCATCCCTCTTAAAACCAGTTTGGGCGATTTTCTTCCTCCAGCTCCCAGCACCGCACGCGTGTTTGGTCCTTGGGATTTTTCTGAGCATCCCTTTGATTTCCTGGCAAACCCCGGGATGTTCCTCCTGCCGTGTGGGGAGGCGCAACCTGCGAGGATGGGGCTGCATCCCCCTGGACCGTGCCTGTTGTCCACAAATCACCGGCTGCATCCCAGCCCCGGCATCTTTCTTTATACTAACGTTTAATACAGAAGGATCACGGCTGAATTTTCAGCTCCTAGGCTGAGTTTGTGGTTCTGGTACGTGGGAAAACCTTGTAATTGGTGTAAAATTAATAGAGGACCAAGTTTCAAGCCGGTTTTGGCTAGCCACAGAGAATCTTCTTCATTTTTAATCAAAATCTCCATCGAAGGCACCTGTGTGAGCCTGGACCAAGGACACTTCAGGCCTCCTGCAGGGCTGATAATCCCCTTTGCCCGTGCCAACGGGCACCGACGTGCGGTGGATGATACCCTGCCCCTCTGGCTCTCCCTGGGAGCTTGCCTTTTCGCCTTTCAGAGCAAAACATCGCTGTGGCCAAAAACATCTGCAATCTGAGACGCCCCTGCTTTTCCCTTGCTAAGGGATGCCCGATCAATGAAGCAGGGATCCCTTCCATCAAGGTGTAGCTCCCACTTGCCTCTCTCTGCTCTTATTCCACCCAAAGCACGTGATTAAACAGTAATTAATCTCCTCTTTGCAAATACATCTACAGCCCCAGACGTGCCAGCCTCCCAGTCGCTCCCAGTATCAGGGTTTATTCTCAACGACGTCCCGCAGAGACGGGGCTGCTGCTCTCCCCGTCCTTCCCAGATCGCATCCGGGGAGGCTGAGGGCCTCTCCCAGCTTTCCCAGGGGAAAACAGTCATGAATATGGAGGAGCAAAACAGAACAGCCCCGAAACGCCAGCGGCATCGTGGCTCACTTGCCCGTGATCGCTGGCTTTATCACATCCCACTTGCCACCCGCCTTTCGCTGCTGGATTTATCCCGAATTCCTCGGAGTAGCTGCGCGACGTGGCTAGCACCTTTCGGGGGAGTGCGAGATAAATAACAGGGCCTTCTCTCTGGGTTTTTTGGGGCAGGGTTGGGGTTTTTTTTTCCCCCAAAGGGATTATTCAGCAATACAGCGTGAGAGTTGCTGGCAGGGCTGGCGCTGGGCTCCTCCAGCGGCATCACCAGCTCCGTGTTGGATGCTCTCCTCCCAGCCCCACTGGCTCCTGGCCGATGGGCATCATCAGGATGCTCCCTGCACACCAGGAGCTGCTTTTTTGTCTCAGGCAGGTTTCCTGTAGCACAGCCCGTTCTCTGTGAATTCCTCCCGGCAGTTATTTCTTAAAGTGTTGGCCACGAAGTTCCAGATCAAATGCTGTAGCTTGTGCTAAACTGGATATACCGTTTCCTTTTCAAAATGTTGATTTTGGATGCCTCTTTCCGCTGGCTTCTGCTTAAGATGGGTTTTTCCTTCCTGCTAGCGGGAGGTTGTGATGTAATTAGTGCTTTTATTTGGTAAGAATTAATAAATAATTAGAAATGACGTTATCTCTTCGCGGGACTGCAGGATGAAGTGAAAATGCTGGAGGTTTTTTGGTGCGCGTCCTGCATGGCCTGTATGACAAGCGGACGATATTTTGTTTATTCTTGGTAATCATTCAGTAGGAAAATGACTTTTTATTTTGGCTGACATGTCCCTTTCCCGTCGCTACAGAGAAAGCAGCTGATGATGAAGTCCAGAAGTCCGACATCTCGTCCAGCAGCCAAGGGGTGATTGAGAAGGAGTCTCTGGGACCTCTTCTTCTGGAGGTAGGTGCTAAAACGTTATTGCTGATGCTGCCAGGCTCCCGCTACTGCCCAAAGCAAAGCAGCCCACCGAGAAAGCGAAGTACAGAGGAGGAAGGCAACAGGGACGTGGATGGGATGCTCTAAGCCCAACCACACCCCTGGCCTAAGTTGCAGCTAAACTGATTTTCATCCTTCACTTCAGCAAATGGTTTGGAAAGAGAGTCTTAACCAAGCTTGATGGAGCTTGGACTTGGTGCAGCCAAAGCTGTTCTGGACAGCTTCTTCGTATCAGCTTTAAAATATGGAGTTGCTTCTAAGTGTGGGTTAAATTGAGCCCCCAGCCTCATTTGGAGGTGAGTTAGGTTGTGGGGATGGGTGGTTTTCAGCAGGTTTGAATCCTTCTGTCCTCTGGAAAATAGGAAGGAAGAGGAGGGCGCTCTGCATCTTGGGTAGCGTCAGGAAATCAGAAATAATCGTGTCTCAGGAGGAAGGGCAGAGTTGGACCTGACGGGACCATCTTGTACGGAGAAGGTTATTATAATGTGAGGGTTATTATATGATATCACAGGCCCCAGAGATAAGCTTCAAATCCTGAATCGTTCAGATGCTAATTTCACAGGCGGGGTTGGGGTTGGGGCTGGGGAGGGGGTTCCTCCCTGGGGATGGCCAGGGCCATCCCAGAGCCACCTTCTTGCATTGAAACCGCCTGATAAAATTACACATTGAGAGACCAAAAGGAAGCAACATCCTCATTTGATGCATTTAATTAACTGTAAGAGCCTAATTGAGGACATGACACAGTCCAACGATTTTCTCTGAGGTTGCTGTTGGGAGCCCCATTGCTGGGAGGTGAAATAGGGCATCATTTTGGAGACAGAAAGCCAGCCTGGGGTTCAGGATTCTTGGGGAGAGAGTGACTCTCCTCGGCCACGTTTTTGGCCTCTTCTGCATCTCCAAAAGCTGCTCAGAGGCCGGGGGGAGCTTTCCTGCGCTGCGTGCTCTTCCAGACCCGCTTGATCCCTCCCCGTACCCCACTGGTCTCCCCTAAGCCCTGGGGTGAAGGTGTCAAAATCAGTAAAACTCTGCAAGAGGTGACTCTGCAGATGAAGGAGTTAATGCAAGAGGGAGGGGAAGGGGGCTGGCATCGAAGGAAGAGTCTGACTTGCGGCAAGGGTGGAAAATGGGTGCTGGAAGCTCGTGGATGGAGTTGGCTATAGAGGCGCTTGGTCTAACAGAGGCAAAACTGCAGAAGGAGCCTAGAAATGAGGCTGGGAAAGGCCCGTGGGGTTCGAGGGCTGCATTGGGTGCTGGACACAGGCATGGGCATGTAACGTGACGCAGGAGGAGGCGGCAGATCCTCAACAAAACCCCCAGTATTTGGGTTTTACTGGGAGAAGGCGTCCCATGAGAGCAGGGGCAAAGAAAACCGTAAGAGAGAGCGAGCAGCGTCCGCCCACCCGCAGCAAATCGATGTATTTGGCAGTGAGGTGTTGGGAACGTGCCTTTACAGGGCTTAGATGGTGAACGTGGGGCCAGCTGGCTTGCCAGAGCCTCGTTCGGCCGGCGTCAGTCCCCTCATGGCCGTGGCTGTGGCTGTGGCCTTGCGTGGGAATGGGCGGCTGGCTGTGGCCAGGAGCCCTGGAGGTAGCCAGCCCCTTGGGCGACGGGGAGCAGGGATGGCAGCACGTCGCTAATAGAAATGGAAAAACCTGAGGTCCTCATCAAGAGAAGGAAATGCATTAAATCAGCCGGCTCGTGCCTAAAAATGACCCCTCGGACGAGGTATCGACGCATCCTTTCTGCGGGAAGGAGCGCAGCGGTGCCTGACTGCCGCTTTGTAAACAGCCTGCCCTGTTCTTGTTTCGTGTAAAACCCCTGGTTAGGTTATGGTTGTGATCTGTACAGGCTGAGGGATCATTCCCTAATTGGTCTCCTCGCGGGTGAAGCCCGCGCGCTTGCGATGCTGACCCTGACCCGCGCCCGGGGGCATCCGTGGCGGCGTGAAGCACTCGGAGGGCGCCAAGCCCTTACCACGCGGAGCTGATTTTCCATGCGGATTGACAGCGAGAAGCAATTAGTGGTTTCGCTGGTCCCCAAGCGATTCGCAGCCTCCCATGCCTGAAAAACGTTCCCCAAGTGACTTCCAGCTTCTTCTGGGTGCCCTGGGCTCAGGTGGGGATTTCAAACCCGGAAAGGCGGAGATAAAAAAGGGCGATTAAAAAGCACCTCCTTCGTTTTTAGGAAGGTTTTTTTGCCTCTTGACGTGTGGTTTGGGCTTGACTTCCATGAGCAATTGTGCTGATAAGGTAATTGAATATTTAAACCATGGATAAATGCCCGGTGGTGCTGCTGGAGGAGTGGGGGCTATAGGGCAGGCGTGAAGCTGGGTCCGCACCGGCTGCCACCTCGGAGCATCCCTGTCCTTTCCCCAGCCCCCTGCAACCAGCCTCACCTCGGGGAGAAGGGTCCTGGTGGGTTTACCGTCCAGCTTGGGTCTGGTTTTTTGGCCTCCCGAAGTGCAAAGGCTGGTTGTCTTGGCAACAGCTGGGAAGAAGGAAAATTGCAGCCGATCTGCCAGAACCATTTTGACAAAAGATTTCTTTCTTCCTTTTTTTTTTTCTTTTTTAAATGCTTCCTGTTTCTTGCACTTAATGTTACTCTGCAGCGAAACCTGATTTTTAGAAACTGCATTAAGCAGAGCCTGGATGCTCTCCATCAGAGGAACTCTCCCCTGGCACGGGCGAGCGGGAGGATGGGGAGGAGAGGGCGATGCTGCGGGTACCAATTTTTGGGCATCACGAGTTTCTCCTGTCCCTGCACCATCTCCCACTCCACGATATGACCAGATCTAGTTGCAGGACCGCAGTTCACCAGAGAAGTAGAAATTAGACTCCAGACAAACCCAGTCCTACCTGGATGAAACACTTTAGGTGATGC